GTCCAGGTTCTGTGGGCACCGGCCGGCTGCACTGGTGTGAGGTCCGCCCGAGCCCGAGTCCGAGTCCGGGTCGGAGTCCGGGTTCTGTGGGCGGCCGCTGGCTGCACAGGTGTGAGGTCCGTCTGAGTCCGAGTCCGGGTCCGAGTCTGAGTCCGAGTCCGGGTTCTGTGGGCGGCCGGCCGGCTGCACAGGTGTGAGGTCCGCCCGAGTCGGAGTCCGAGTCCGAGTCCGGTTCTGTGGGCAGTCTGCCGGCTGCACAGGTGTGAGGTCGCGCAGGTGTGGCGCGCACGTGACATGGTTCGGTTTTCCCTGAAGAAAGCATTCGGAGGAAACGCCCGCTCATTCTCCAGCAATTCTTCGCACAATTTTGATCGGAACCTCAGCACAAACCCATTTCTGCATGGGCTTCCAGGACTTTCTTTGGAATAGAGCAGCCGTGGGCAAACTACAGCCCCCGGGCCGGATCCGGCCCGTTTGAAAAGAATAAAACTAAAAAAAAAAAAAAAACCCCGTACCCTTTTATGTAATGATATTTACTTTGAATTTATATTAGTTCACACAAACACTCCATCCATGCTTTTGTTCTGGCCCTCCGGTCCAGTTTAAGAACCCATTGTGGCCCTCGAGTCAAAAAGTTTGCCCACCCTGGAATAGAGGGACACTCTCAAGTCCTTCCCGTTAGGTGTAAGCCTTGGTGTCCCGTTTCAATGCGGCTGTGTCTTACCGGGCTCCTCGTCTTGGGTTTTATCACTTCCTTGGTAGTTTGTACAATAACGAATTGGTGAGACACAGTCATCTACTTTGGCCACCATGTGCCAAGCTAAAGTTCTAATAATATGCAAGGAAAATGGAATACTGAAGGACAACCAGGGCCTCTGCTCGGAATCCCATGGCGTGTCTAATGGATTACAACCAAACCAATAAAACCAGCTCACACCTGTGGGACGGCTCCAGCCGGCACATTGCAAGTGTAGCATATCCTAGGAGTGAAAAAAAATTGAGCCTCATAACAAAACTAGATTTGACCCCAGAACTACCCCAATTGTTTTGTCTGTGTGCACACAGATGCGCGGGTGCAGGACATAAGAGAAGGGAGAGAGCCCTGGCCGGTTTGGCTCAGTGGATAGAGCATCAGCCTGCTCTCCCTTTTGATTCTAGTCAAAGGCATGTACCTTGGTTGCAGACTCCTCCCCGGCCCGGCCCTGGCTAGGGCTCCTGCAGAAGGCAACCAATCCATGTGTTTTCTCTCACATCAATGTTTCTCTCACATCAATGTTTCTCTCTGTCTTTCCCTCTCTCTTCCATTCTCTCTAAAAGTCAATGGAAAAATATCCTTGGGTGAGGATTAACAAAAACAAACAAACAATAAATAAAGGTGATTAAATGTTTAAAAAGAGAGAGAGAAACTGATGAAAATTGAAAAATGAGTTGGAAAGCCAGAGATTAGGTAACTGCTAAGGGGTTGATAAAAGGTATAGAAAGTAGTGGATGTTTTCAAGAGGCCCCACAAAGGTAGACAGGAGTTTGGCAGAGGTTTTGTGTGTGTGTGTAATGTATGTATATCCAGGTATATATATATATGAGTTTGAAATTATAGTAAATTTACGAGACTGCAGTTAGAGAGGTTTACCACCATTTGCTTCTGGATTACCTTCTGTCGCCCTGAGCCTTCTGTAGACAGCAACAATGAGATACTAAGATTGTCATAAATTAACTCACATTTGTAAGGGGGACAAGTTCAATATTATGGTTTGCTTAGTAAATGGAATCACGTTTCCAATTCTCACCATATCATTTGAGTTTTTCTTGAACTGCTAACCCAATTGTGTATTACAAAGCAAAAGTGATTATTTCTTAATTATACAAGAGAACATTTTGTGCCCTAGATTTATTATAAAGCTATAGTAACACTATAGCTTCATAATAAATAATGTTACTATAGCTTTATAATAAATCTTGGTATGTAATAGGACCTGTGCTTCTGCCTTCTTATTCTTGAGCTTTTGCTTTTCCATATAACATTTAGGATCTACTTAACTCCCAAGAAAAAAACATGAGGGATTTTGTTTATATTTTCACTGAATTTATAGAAAAATTTGGGGACAAGTTTTATCATCCTTCCTATCATGAAGTTACTTATTTCATTTCCTCAGATGTACTATTGATCTTTCAGTAATATTTTGTAGTTCCCAAGTTCTTGCATATTTCTTGATAGATCCCTGCCATTTAGGTATCTTGTAGATCATTGTCCTATAAGAGATTATTTTTATTATATCTTCTAATTGGTTATTATGGTCTAGGAATGCTATTCATTTTATATATTGATCTTGTAGTCATAACCTTGTTGAACTCTTATTAAATCTAGATTTTAAAAAAAAGACAAACACACTAACAATAAAGTTTTATTTTTGTTTCCAGTTTCATTCATATTATTTATTAAATTGGCTAGGACCTCCTACTAAGAAATGCTTCTAAAATTTCACCAATGTGATAATTTATCTAGTTTTTAATAGGAATTTTTTTATGGTACAGGTAGAATTACTAACAGACCCTGATTCAGTTTGGGGTAGCAATGGACCCAGCTAAAAACTCCATTTCCCAGTTCCCTATATGGGGAATCCTTATTAGTTGCCCTACAATATGACAGTTTGAGATATGTGGAAATTATGTGGGGTTTCCAGGAAAGCTCCTTAAAGAGGGACAAATTTGTTGCCCTTTTGTAATTTTCACTTTCTTGTCCTCCTACCTGGAACTCACATGTAGGGTTGGATGTGGAAAAGCCCATCTTGTGACCTGAAATTGACTGCATGAGGCCAAGAAAATCGTAGGCTTCAAGTGAAAATTAAAACGGATTTTTTTTAAAAAAGCTCTCATTTGGGCCTTTGTAACTCACAGCTGAAGTGAAATTCTGAACTCATACAGAAAGTAGGGTGCTGCAAGTAACAAAACCTAATGTACAGAATTGGCTTAGTGTTTGAGGGAGGACTTTGGGCAGTGGGGACACAAATATCACTGACTGAAAAGCTGGTGACTTATTTGATGGTGACAAAGTATTAGGTCAAATTGTCAACTGCTGTCCTTTGGAAGGCAGACCAAATGCTGATTGAGGCTGTAGTATTAGGGGAAGTATTAGAAGAAAAACTCAAAATGTTGGTATAGGATGGTACTTTCTTGCTGTGTTCAGCAAAGTCCTAGAAGAGAGAAATGTACTTTTTCTCTATTGAAGTTAGTAGCCTGCAGAGATGGAGGAAAAGGCAGATGAGCAAAACAGTTTCTACCATTTTTTTTTATTGTGATATAGGTCACATATGAACAAGAGTGCATAAAATATATTTGTACAGCTTAAAGAATATTTTTTAATGAATATCCATACAATCACCTCACAAGACAAGGAACAGAAGAACACTGCCAGCATCCCAGAAGCTCCAGGTGCCATTGCCCAATCACATTCGCCTACCTTCACTCAGAGGAAATCATTATTCTAACCATTGGGACAACAACACTCTTGCTTTTTAAAATGCTTTGATTTCATATGGACACATCTTTAAAACAATGTAGTCTAGCTTTAACTGTTTTGAATTTTATATAAATGGAATCATGCTGATGGCATCCTTCTATTACTTGCTTCTTTTGCTCCACATTATCTTTGTGATATCCATCCACGTTCTGATTTTTCATCACTGTGTAGAATTCTATTGTTGGAATATACAATGATAGAATGTAACCATCCCACCACTGCTGAATATTTGGTTTATTTCCAATTCTTGGCTATTACTAGTATAGTACTACTATGAGCATTCTTACTAGTATACATGCTTCCTAGGAAATATGTTCAATAGTTTTCCCAGAGCAATGTATTAACTAGGGTTCTGGCAGGAAAAAAAAAAAATTGTAATTTGAGACGAGTTTAAGAAAGGGACCATCTCTATAGGTGCGGGCAGGGTATGGGGAAACCATAAAGGGTAGTGCAGCACCCCAGGGCTATTAAGAGCAAGGCTCTGTTGCCACTCCTAGGCTGAAGAGGTGAGGAAAGAAACGGATTATCAGAACCTGGAGAGCGAGCAGAGAATGCAATATGAAGATGGACACCTACAAGAGGTTGTGACCTTAGGTCAAGGAACTTAACAAAAAGGTACATGAAGGACTAAATACGCAACTTCACCTTTCTTCTTCCCTCACATCTTCTGCAGTGGCTTCCCCATTGCCATGACACCCTGATAGACATAACGCAGGGTACTGAAGGGCAAAGTGTGATCTGGAGGAAAAATAGAAAATAACCAGGAGCCCAGCCAGTGTGGCTCAGTGGTTGAGTGTTGACCCATGAACCAAGTGGTCACCGATTCGATTACTGGTCAGGGCACATGCCCAGGTTGCAGGTTCAATCCCCAGTAGGGAGCATGCAGGAGGCAGCTGACCGATGATTCCCTCATCATTGATGTTTCTATCTCCCTCTCCTTCCTTTCTCTCTAAAAATCAATGAAAATATATTTTAAAAAAAGAAAAAGAAAATAACCAGGAAAGGTGTATATTTAGGAGTGCAGTTGCTGGGTTGTTGAGAAAGGCAAACTGTTTTCCAAAGTGATTGTTTTCAAAGTAAGATTCATGTTGCTCCAAATCATGAACAGAACAATGAACCCTTTTTTCATTTTTGTGCATCTGGTAGGGTTGTAATGACACTTCTTTGTGTTTTCACTTTTCATTTCCCTATTACTAAAATGGCTGAGAATATGTGCATGTTTCTTGGCTATTTATATTTCTTTTTATGTCAAGTGCCATTTAAAGTCTTTTATCCAAATTTCTATTGGCTGTCTTTTTTCTTTTCCTGATTCATTGAAGTCATTTATATATTCTGGATTATATACTCTGGATACTAGTTTTTTCTCAGTTATTGTGCTACAAATATGTTCTCCCAAGTCCTTCCTTATATTCTGACCCTATTAAGTAGATAAGATTATAAGTGCTTATACTTTGTAGCTTTGCTGTATTTTCTAAAAATGCCCCAAAGGAAAATTATAATAGAAAAGAAAATGAGTTGGAGGAATTAGATTAAACAGAAAAGGATGTGAAGAGAATTTTTAGCAAAGAAAATAGAATAAAAGCACTAAGGTGGAAAAAGAGTGGAAAGGAAGGAAACCATTTCTATTGGCTAAAAGATCGACTACATATTTTAAATTTTATTTTGAATTATTATTAAATATGACTAAATAACATTCAATAAATCATCTAAATGAAAATAATTTAGTATTTAATGTTGAAAACACAATAAATATAAACTTGAGGGAAGGCAGAAAACAAATATGGTGCTATCTACAATTGAAAAAAACAAAAGCGATATAAGAGAACAAAAGATTTGTTTCTTTAAAACAGCCACAAAATGACCATCATCTTCATGTTTCAATTAAATACTTATTAATGATAAAAACTCTTACTGATAGCACTAAATTATCTGGAGAAACTACTTAAGTTAACTACTTACTGTTAAGCTGTCTTTTTTCAGAAATATTAATAAAAACATGACATAAATATAACTAAGATAAATGAGCTATTATAATACACACTCATCTTTTATACATTTTTCTCTAGAAGGTTATATAAAAATAAAGTGAATGTACAATTTATTCTTTATAGATTTGTGTAGAGTACAGACATAATTGCCATTTAAAGTCCTAGATAAGAAAATAATTACTTTATATCTTAGACAAAAAATTTTTAAAGTGGATCAAGTGCTTATTCATAAGAAGGAATTTTAAATTAAAAAATCAAATGAATAGTCATATTTAAGCAAAATTTTTTTAACACAGAAAATAATACT